TGACTTTTGAATAAAATATTTTTCACACCTACTTGAATGTGAAGTGTTCCCTTTTGAAACATTGATTCTGACAGTGAAATGTATCCCTCCTTTTAATTAGATGTGCATTGTTAAAAAAATTCATTATTAGTTACTTTGGTTGCATATTTTCCCTAATGATTTATTTAACCCTAAATGGGTAATTTGTTTTTGTAAACTATATTAATGCCAGAACAAACATATGTATGTGCATTTCCACTTCTTTCTCAGAGGAAGGAAGGAGCTAATACTATAAACATTCTCTTTCAGGTCATATACAGTAAGCAATCAATATTCTTTGTATGGGAATTGAAGTGGACAAAAGAGCTTCCTCTCTCCTTGCAGTGCCTGTTTTCAGTCAGCTTTTGTCCAGCTACCTCTGAAGAACAGTCTCTTACCCTGAAGCCGTTCACTTATGAATTCCAAGTGGAAAATTTTTTTGTAAGTACTCTTCTAAGTATAGCATATGTTAACTGAACATGGTTTCCTAATATGTGGACAGGGAAAGTCAAGAAATGTATTAGAAACCATCTGTTTACGTAATGAGATTGATACCTACTTGGAATCATTGGAAAGCTAGTTTGTTGAGTGATAGAACTGAAGCCTGATATGATATGGTGGAATCATACACTTGCCACTGGAATGGGGTGGTGGGAGGGAACATTTGCACAAGTTTCCTTGGTCTTGTTTCATTTTTTTTCTGTGTGTTTTTGCCTTCCTGGGCTTGTGCCATGGAGACTGTCCTTAGATTACTGAGCTGCTTTTTCCCTGCTGGCTTAAGACTGCGCTCTCCAAAGCAAATTGCAATTTCCAAAAAATCTTTGCTATTGAAAGCATTTGAGTTGGTTTTTGTAGTGCTTGAGATGAGCTCCTCTAATGAAATATTTAGGGTTTTGTAGGCCATTATCTTAAATGTTTCTTCTTTCCCTTTATGGGCAAACTTTTTATTCCTTTGATCAGCTAGGAAGCTTATAGTCTAGGTATAACTTCCTATTAAAGGAATTCTATCAACATTATTTAATCTCATCTCTAAGTTCAGTCTTGTGTTACCCTTTTTGATGCTTGGGTAAAAAGTAGCAATGTGAGAAGACTCTCATTTGATGAAATCTTTTTGTCTGTCTTCAGTGTTGCTATGTTTTCTACCAGCTATTACAAACTGGCATTGAGCAATATTTTAGGTATTTGTTTACCTACTGGCATGTAACTAGCATTTGTTAGCACCTGTATCAGCATCTTTCTGGAGTTTTTAAAGAGAGCTAACTGTGTTAAACCGTGGGGGTTTTTTGGTAGAAATTTAATTCTGTGGTAATTAAAAATTAGCTCTTTGATAATGTCAGCATCGTTATTCTGGGGACTATGATGGTAAGAGTGATGAAGTAGTCCTCCTGTATTACTCAGAATTTGAGTGATGTGTCTGGAAAGCGAGGAGCCAAGAAACTAGTAAAAGTTTGTTTCAATAGTATGAAGATTGGTATCCGTTTAGGAGCATTGAAAGGCTGAGTTAAAGCACAGAAGTGGAGGGAAAAGTGGTGTGCTTGCTGCTGGTATCAAAAATAGATTGAATCAAATTTGGTTTGCTTATTTTCTCAAACTGAGCAAGATAATGAAGTGAACATTACTTATAACTGAATCTTGCATTAAAAAGATTTAATGGATGTTAAATGTAAAGTTAAGTTTGTACTGTATCAATTGTCCAGTTCAGTTTAAACACAAGTAAACCACCCCTTTTTTCTTGATAACAGCACTGTTTTCTTCCTGACAGACATTGTATCATGTGAAAACTGAAATTTTTCCGCCATTGGGGGCAGAGTATTGTAAAACGGGCTCACTCTGCTCTTTAGAGGTGTCAATCACCCGACTTGTTGACCTCTCAGAGGTTGACAGAGATGAAGCATTAACAGAATCAGATGGATATTGCACAACAAAACTTATGTATGAAGGTAAGAATATTTTCCTTAAGCATATTGACAAAATTCCCCAGTTTTGTCTTGATAATGACATCTGCCAGACTTGTAATGGCATATGTTCTTGTATTGTGAGTATGGTTGCTCAGTAAAGCAGTTTTCATTTTGCTAGACTGAGAAGATTTTATTTTTTCCTCATTAATCTGTCTTCAAGTGGAATATAAATGCTGTTCAGACTGGATGGATACTTGCTTGAGGCCCAACTATGGTCCCTTTTGTGTAGACCTGTTTTCTTACCTTGCACAGCTCTTCACACATAGAAGCCGATGGGCTTTTAGACGTTGCTAAAATACTGATTTTAAAAGTGCTCTAAAACTATACTGAGGGTTCTTCATTTTTCAGAAAAGATCTTCTTAGTGTTTGCTCTTTATTCTTGCAGTTGTTGACAACAGTAGTAACTGGGCAGTCTGTGGAAAAAGTTCTGGAGTGATATCTATGCCTGTAGCAGCTCGAGCAACTCACAAAGTTCACATGGAAGTGATGCCACTGTTTGCTGGATATCTACCTTTTCCTGATGTCAGATTGTTTAAATACCTCCCTCACCATTCTGCTCACTCCATGCAACTTGATGCTGGTAAAGCTATCTTGACTACATGGCTACTTACAGAAATGATTCTGCTTCTCCTGTGTTCTTGTGTAAAGAGAAAAGCAAGGCGAGGAAGTGTATTGACGAAGTACTCTTAGGTGTCTTTGTTACTTACCTTCACTCACAGTTCTGATTTGGAACTTATAAAATGTTGCTCTAACAGGAACTTTGAATTCGGGTTGCAGCCTTAATCTGTGAAGAGGAATAATAAATGCATTGTTTTCTTATATTTCCTTTAAAGCTTAGTGTGCAAATTAGTTGTCACTGGATTTATAATCAAGTGGAAACTATTTGGTAACTCTCTAATCCTGCGGTTTAATTGTCTGTAAGCTGCACATCTACTGTGTCTTCATTAGCTTTGAAATTTTTTCCCAGTTTTTGAAAGGATTAAGTACGAAATAGAAACTGCTGAAAATTTGTGGCGTATAAGCCAGATTAGATGAAGAGTTTAAATTGTCACAGCCACCTAGAGTATTTATCTGTGCTGTTGAGTAGTCCCAGCACTGTAGTGAGAATTCACTCGTGCAAGCAACTTAGCGTTTGTCAGCGGAGCTCCAGGAACTGCCAGTGTGCACCCTCCTAGCCTGTGACAAATGTGAGGTAATGCTACTTAAATTTTCCTTAGAAACCAATATAATTCACGGTTACATCTGCTGCTGGCCAAAAATGTGCGCAGAGTGTTACCTCAGCAGAGATGATCAGTAACTGTTAACCTGTGGTAAGTTGACTGTGCGTCTGAGCTCTGAAATAATTTTTAAGTTGTTTAATCACTCCATAGAATGAAACTGTGGGTTTTTGTTTTAAACAGATAGCTGGATTGAAAATGATAACCTATCTGTGGACAAGAATGTGGATGATCAAGCTGACAGCAGCAGCATAAGGAGCAGAGGTAGCTTGCATTCTGCAGCTAGTGGGGAACACAAAGGTTTGCCAATGCCCCGTCTGCAATCCTTTTCATCTGGTCAGGTCTTCAACTGCAGCACGGCTATGCAAATACTTGTCATTCCCAGCAAGGATGACCATGTTCTGGAAGTCAATATCACGTGACAACCCGGTATGAAAACAAGGAAAACAAAAACCGTTAGAAACTGGATATGAAAGCACTTTAAAGGATTATGACCTGGTTAGTCTTTGTGGTAACATTCTAACTCTACGGAGACCTATGGCACTCAACACGTACTGGCCATGGAAGCACCAGACAATTGTATCAATTTAAATGTACAGTGAAGCTTGTGTCAGCTAGTTTATATTGCCATTTTAGTACGTTTTGTGTAAGCTATTGGGTTTTCTCCCTTCAGTCACATCCTGCATCACAACACAGGGCAACAAAAACAAAAAATCCAAATATTTGGACCACTTCTTTATTTTTGTCTGGCAGCTGAGAGGTTTGTTTTCATGCTTCCTACGTATTTTAGAATTTAGAGTTGGATGATATAATTATCCAAACCTTGGATTTTTATGTAATAATTTACAGGCTTTTCCACACACGTGCCAGAAACACAACAAAGCATACAACAGCACATTCACTGGTGTAGTAGTTGCTTTTCTGGCTTTGTTTGTTTGTTTGTTTGATCATCGTTAATTCCTGCCATTGCAATTTTCTGTTCAACTTCATCGTTTGCATACTTAGATGCATGGAAGAGCTACTGCTATAAACAATCTTAGCTGAACAAAATTCCTTAATTTTTTGAGGCTTTCTCCTTCACAGACTTTGTTTGTTGTTTGTTTGATCATCGTTAATTCCTGCCATTGCAATTTTCTGTTCAACTTCATCGTTTGCATACTTAGATGCATGGAAGAGCTACTGCTATAAACAATCTTAGCTGAACAAAATTCCTTAATTTTTTGAGGCTTTCTCCTTCACAGAATAGACACTGTGATGTCACATATTATATGATTTTTGGGGGGTGGGGGTTGGGTCATCCTCTTGCATAGTTCTTACCAAAGAAAGATATTGATAGAATTTAATAATAAATTATTTGGCTTACTGAGTTCCCAGATTAATTTCTTTTACTACCATTTCTAAGTGGCTTGGTTTGCTGCCCCAATTTTTAAATTGGGGCAAAAATTTCAGTATGATATGATACTTGAACAGTCAACCTTTCATCATAAAGGCTTAGTGTAATTATTACTGATTAGAGGCCAGACTTCCACATTCATGATGGAAGAAAGCGGTTGGTTTGATACAGGAAAGCTTGCAGATGTAGAATAATTGTGAAGCAAAGTTAAAACATGTAACTTAAAGAATTTCATTATTTATATCTGAAATGTAAATACAAAAAATGTAAAAAAAGAAAAAAAAGTGTAATTTTTGTGAATGTTGCAAATCCACCTGTGACTGGAAAAATTACAACTCCTTCTGATGTCCTGCTTCGGATATTGAAACTTGTGCATTTAATGTGAGAATGACCTTTTCTACTTGCGGATCTATAATGGTGCGTTGTCAACAGACTCCACAGAGGAAAACTGTCCCGTATCAAATATTTGTCAGTAAAGCTAAAGTGAGGAACTGCTCATTAGACAAGTTCATTGTTGTTGTTTTTTTCTAAACTCAGGTTCTGCTAAATTATAAAGGGGAAGAAAAAAACAAACCCTCTTTCCAAAAAGAATCACAATTAAGTTGAAAAAGGAATAGGCACCCTGCACTGGTCTAAACTTTTTTTTATTATTATTTTTTATTTAAAAAAACCCAGTATGTCTAAAATAAATGTATAAAGTAGACCTGCTAGCTGAAAATGTTCTTGTTACGCATCTTCTTTCTGTGAAGGAATGCCCTTTCTCTGTGGAAATCATGCCATTTTATTCTGGATAAACCCCAAAGCATCATTTAGTGCGAATGACTGCTGGGATTCTTTGACTGGAAAAGGTAACAAGTTAGTGACTTTGACACTGCAGGTATTATAATTAATTCCATTTTCATGGTTTGCTATTGAATCATTTTTCACATTGTTCTGTAATATACTGTTAGATTAAACACATTGTACTAAGATTGTTTAATGAAATTGTAAGCGTTGCAGTTCTAAATATACATGTTTTAAAAAGAAATCCAACTTCTCTGCTGCTGTGACTTCTCCTCTTTTCCTTTCGTTTAAAGGAGTGATTGTTTCATCCGTTTTAGCTACTTCAGCTACTTTAACGGAAAACTATTTTCTAAACTGAAGTAAGGGGACCTACTTAGAACAGCGGTCTGAAGCGTGTGCTCTTCGGCTATCTGACGGGGTTGCCGCTTTCTGGGAAAGAGCTGCCCGGCCTCCGCAGGGGAGCAGCCTCGGGGCTGCCGCTTCTCGGCTTTCGAGTGGCCCCGCTGCCACCATCGAAGCGCGCCGACAGGCACAGCCCGCCGCCTGGGCTTCGGCACTCGTTCACGCTCCCGCCTTGGCCCCCCTGG